TAAAGAGCTAGACCAAGCTAGTCTATACCAAACTCTCATCCTTGCGTGCCTTCCCCTGTTAAGGAAAACAAAACTAAAGGGATGAACTAAAAGCTCAGTGAGGTTCCGAACACATAATCAAATAATCAATCCAATACATTCAACATAGAGCATAATAATTCAAGAAACATTTACCATGGAAAGCGATATTAACACATACATTAAAAGGATACTGGCTCACAAGGAGCCATTTGTTCGTTCGTTCGTTCTCCTGACATTTCCCCTTATTCCTCCATTCATTTGAAAATACATTTTTGTAAGTAAAACCCTCGTTCGTTCGTTCATTTCATTCACCCCCTTCCCAGACATTGGCCGGGCTCCACCAACCTACAAGGTAATACTCGAGTATACCAAACGTTCACCCAGGTCACCATATCGCCCGACCGAGTCCGCTTCTAGCTCGAGTCGATCGGTAACATGGGGCAGTGGCCAGTTCAGCCAAAAGGCTTACATTCATGCACAAGTAACATTTCAATCGTTCAATCATTGAAAAGTTCACAATCATTTGGGCTGAGTGCGATAAAGTACACACTCGCCTAGAAAACTCGTTTTGGCTAATCATTGAAAGCGTTTAACATGTTATCAGTCATATAATCAAGAAACATAACAAACAAGGAACACTCACCTATTTACGTAAAACAACGTGCAAATATCCTTCCGGATATTACCTCAGTCACCAAGAAAACCTAAGAGTAAATGAGAAAGAATATTACAGTCTATCTAGCACAAATAAGTAAGTGAAATCAAAGAAAAATCGGCAATTGATAAGTAAAACGTATAAAGACGCCTTTATAGTGAAAAGGGAATATTTGGATCGGAGGACGAAAATAACTAGGGTTTCATAAACCAAACACAAAACTAACTCAAGCGGGTTATAAAATGTCCGGCGGAAAACACTTGGACCAAAGACAACTCGGACTCCAACGAGATAGGCTAAAAATATTGTTTTCGGAATCATTTAGATAGTTCAAAATCAACTCGTACCCAAGCAGCTAGTATAGACTAAGCGTCATGATAAAATCATGTTTTAAAATGGAAAGCCGGTCATGGTATTGGCCAAACAAAAGTATACAAGTTCAAATAGAAATTTAGCCCTTGAGCGAAAATTTGGGCAGCACGCCCTTTGTATTTACCTATTTTTCCAGCCATTTATGGCTTCATTCTTTTACTCAATCCAACCCAAAGTCATCCATAACACAATTTCATTTCAATAGCCGTTCAATAGGCTCAAGACAATACAAGGACAAGAAATCAAGCTAATAACGAGTGCGGAAAGGAAGTTTACAAAAGACAGTTTTAACGGGTTTTTGCGGAAAGAACACATCCGAGGCTACACTTATCGGATTAGTGTGAAACTTATACCGTTTCGAAGCTAAGACGAAGGCCTACAACTTTCATGAAGGTCATTTAGTCAAATTTCCAGTGTAATCTAATCAAATTCGCAGTTCACAGAACCAGGTTCCAACTAATCGACTAACTAACCGTACTACAATTAAATGGCCATATCTCAGGCTACCAAAGTCCGTTTAAGGTGTTCTTTGAGGCGTTTAAAAGCTAAGACAGAGTACTAAAACTTTCATGTTTTGAAAAATGGCTAAATCAGCACGGATCATAGTGAATAAACACAGTCAATTGGATGAACTGTCCAAAACGGATCACTGGAAATAGCCTAGGGCAGTGAGGGTATTTTAGTCTTTTCACAGGCTACGTTAGTCTGATTGAGTTGAAATTTTGTAGGCAACTATAAAATACTATTATCTACAACTTTTATGTTTTATTCCAAGCCTAATTCGGCCTCTAACATGATACAATAAAACCGGACAGAATGGGCTAAAATTTTTCCAGAAATCTAGAATTTTTAGTTTCAATGGTAACTTTCTTCTTTTCTTGCTTCACTTGCTACCAAAACCCCCTATACAATCTTAGATACAACATATATTAACCATACATCAAGTATAGGCAGCAATCCATCAAACCCTAATTCATGTAACCAAAAAGAAAAACACCCAAAACATGATAACAACCATTATTCACCACAAATTTGAGATGCTAAGCTAATTGAACATGATCATGAGTAAGAAATGGGGAACTCATCATCCTCACCTTGCTTAAGTGTCTACCAAGAGCAACCCTAGCTTTCCCCTTCAAAAATTCACCAACACCTCACTAAATCAACACTCAAAGGTAACTTTAATCGGTTTACTTTCTTTGTTTCCTCACTTTGTAGCTCAAATTCAAGATGAAGGAAGATGGGTTTTGCTCTCTCTTTTCCCCTCCCTTGTCTCAGCCACCAGCAGAAATAATGAAGAAGAAAGAGCAAAAATTGGGGATAAAAAGGTTGGACTCTTGGTTGGTCAAGAAACCCTTAGGTGGCGACAAGTGGCGCCACCACCACCACTCTTTTTTTTCTCTTTCTTTTCTTTGCATTTGGTCCACATTTTCGGTCAAGACTAGCTGGAAATGAGGGGGATATTTTGCTCAAATATTAATGAGCTCATGTGATAAGAAAGTGGTGGTCAAGTGGTGCGTTCAATCGGTAACGCGTGGTACCCACCGGTTCGCGCCGTTTTTCTTTAAAACACACGTATTAGGGTTTTTATTTTCTATTCACTAACCTTATATCATTGCTCCTAATCACATATTATTTCTCACCTAAAAGTCACTTTTAATCACCAAATTTGATCCTTGCTCCGTACCGAAAAATCATCCTGCGAAAAATCGCGAAAACCCTAATTTGCTCCAATCTTGAAACTGAAAAGTGAAACCCTACTTTCTAGGTTCATTTGCACTTATTGTGGAATGACTGGGTGGTAGAGCTTTAATAAATGAAATTGCCAAATAAAAGGAAATTTTTAAGAAAAAACGTGAGAGATTTTACAATTCCAGTGATTAAAATTAGGGTTTTCAATTAAAATATTAGGGTTTCCAATCTTTTAAAACAAAATAAGGTTTTAAATCAAATCCAAAGAAATACACTTTAGTATCTTCTTTACAAACAACTTCCTAATATGTGGGGTGTCACAATCTCCCCTCTTTAAAAGAATTTCGTCCTCGAAATTCATACATGCACTTCAAATAACGTAGGGTATTTTCCTTATATATTCGTTTCCAGCTCTCAGGTCTCATTATAGCCAAAACTTAGTTAAACGCAATAAGGTGACTAAAGTAACTAAAATTTAGGGCGTCAAATACCTAAATAAACATATACACACATAACACACCACATAAACATATCAAGGAAACAAATAATCAAATATACAAATACGTCTCAAGTCAGGCAGATATTCATATACACAGATACACAACTGACGGCATGTAGCGACAATATACGGGCGAATCAAAAGAAAAGGGATATATCGTCCCACACCCAGTTAGAATAACCCCGTCCGGTCACTTACGTCACTTTCTATCCGACTCAATGTCCATTAACCTCTTATACTTATTCTAGCCAGACAAAGCCTGTTCATATTCCCAAATTGCAAATCTCAAGTATTTAGTATCGTCTCAACTCTGGAGTACTCAGGCACAAGAATCCGCAATAAGATAATTCACCTCTCGAGCTGGCCAGTCCCAAGAGTAAACTATCTACAATCAAAATTCCCACCTAACGTACCTATTTATGGTCCTCAGATGTCATAAGAACATTTAAGGCCTATAACAATTCACAATTCATAACTTATGCTCGAACGAGCACTTAATCCTTCATACCTATTCACTACTCAGTCTAGGCTCACTCCGCGCAGAGACCACGCGAAGCAGGCTCTGATACCAACTGTGACAGCCCCACCTCCCCGTAAGGCGAACCAAAGGGTTCGGCGGACCACCTGCCCAACTCTCGCCGGGACTCAGTCGTTCCTTAATCAAATCCGAAATACAACCAAAGATGAGAGTTAGACTAAATAGCTGAAGCTCCAAATGGCTATCAACAGGGGGTAAGTTAATACTTCTCAGACATTTCTTTCTTCCCTTCCCATGTACATACTGCAGGTGTTCCCGCCACCAAAGGCGATTTTCATCAAGTTGGGGAGAATCTGTAATAGCTTTTTATGGGATTACGGTGTGGACTCCCAGAGAGTACATTGGTCTTCTTGGGACAAATTATGCTTTCTGGCTGCGAAAGGGGGACTTAGGTTTAGATCGTTCGAAGACATGTGCTCTGCATTTGCTTGTAAGCTTTGGTGGTAGCTTAGGGCGAATGACTCAATTTGGGCCAATTACATGCACCAAAAATATGTCAATATGTCAGGGGAATGCATCCTAGCCGAGCTGCCTTCCAAAGGCCTCCCCTCTCTTGGTGTGGGTTGGACACAATTCGAGATGTTGCTGAGAGGCAGATTCATTGGTGTTTAGGGAGAAGCTTTGTGGATTTCTGGCACGACAGATGGTTGGGGGATGAGACTATAGTGGAGATGCTGGGTTTTCACAATCCCCTGCATATGCTGGTTGCGGAATTTATTGTGCAAGACGAATGGAATGTATCTAAGTTATTCTAGTGGTTACCTCTGCACTTGGTTTGTCGAGTCGTTGACACGCAGGTCTTTTCACAACTGGAGGATAAAATGATTTGGTTGCCTTCCTCCTTGGGACTCTTTAGGGTTAAATCTGCATGGGACCCACTTCGATCCAAGAAGAACTCGTCTATGGTATGTAGGGCGGTTGTGGTGCACATTCTCGCCTTTGAAGGTCTCGTTTTTCTCGTGGCGTGCCTTATATAACTTTCTGCCATTGGATCTTACCCTTCGTTGGAGGGGGTAGCCCTTCCTTCTCGGTGCCATTGTTGCTTCTCCCATGAGGAGTCTTTCTCTCACTTGTTCCTCACTGGCCCGGCTGCCTCTGAGGTCTGGGATTGGGCCAGCAGGCAATTTGGCGTACTAGACCTAACGCACTCCTCTCTCTCTGCAATGTTCATGTCTTGGTTGTGCTCTATTGGGTTGGGATCACTGGATCACATTCGTACGGCTATGCCAGCTATAGTAATTTGGTTTCTCTGGAAAGTGCGTAACCGAGCACGACATGAGGGTGTGCCGTTTCAGTCACGACAGGTCATTCTGGACATTGAAAGCTTTGTGGTGCAGCTCGGTCAAGCTGGAGTCCTCATGCCTAAACATTTCATTAGGGACCTAGAGCATCCGTGGGCTCCAACCAAAGGGATACGTTCCAAGCGGTTCAAGGTTTGTGCTGTGGCCTGGTCGAGACCTCCACTCAACATGCTGAAGCTCAACACGGATGCTAGTGTCTTTGGTGCAAGAGCATCAGGTGGAGGGCTAGTTCGTGACCACACAGGGCACCTGATTTTTGCCTTTTATAAGGAGTTTGGGGAGGTGGATACTTTGACTGCAGAAGGCCTCTCCTTATGGCATGCTCTCTTGTATTGCAAGGAAAGGAATCTTACCGGCCTTCTCGCCGAGGTCGATTCGGAAGTCTTAGTTCATTTTTTGCTCTTTAGTGACACATCCAAATGGCCTTTGTGCTATACCTTGCATAGAATACAGAGTTTGTTAGTTGAATTGTCATCCACGGTGCGCCATATTTTTAGGGAGGCGAATAGTTGCGCAGACAAACTAGCAGGGGGAAAGCATCCAACAGACACTGTCTTCTCCTCGGTCCATCAACTTCCACCGACTGTTCGGGCAACCTTGCAACTGGATCGTTGGGAGGTCCCTTTTACCCGATCCTGGGTCGTCAAGTAGTAGTTCCTCTATTGTTCAGGGCCCCGTAGGCTCTTATTCCTTGCAGGCTTTGTAATGGCTTTACTCTCTCTAATAAAACAGGGGGTTGGCAGCCCCTCCCGCATTTGGGTTTTGCCAAAAAAAAAAAAAGCATGATATAGATACATAGGATCTGAAATCAATAAATACAGCAAATCTAAAAATTTATACAAATAAAGATAAGCTCTAACATATTTTCCATCCAAATGAATCATTGTAGCCTCATAGATCTATGAATATTTTCTAACAGTCAGATCTAATTAAAAGTTAGTTCAAATCCAAAGAAAAGTTTAGATATGACAATAATAAACGAAGAAATTGCATATATGAGAAATCAGATCTATAAAATCTCAAATGTTAGAGAAGAAACAAATTAAACAAAACTCTCACAATAATGACCTACACTCTCTCAAAATCATGATTATTTATGTCTCATTAATTTTGATCGATTTATTGGATGGATATATATGAGTTAATTTAATATGTGCTGCTAATGTTGTGGCCTTGTGGGATGTGGTAATGGTGGTCATTTAACAGCTCTAATATATGCCATTAATGTTGTGGCCTCTGGATGTGGCAGTGGTGGTCATGGTGACCTGGTGCTCATATGTCCACTCAGCGTCCAAAAGTAGGAAAATGGGGCCTCACAAGTTTCATTTGGTACGAGTACGAGTTGATGTAAATTAATAATTTATTCTTAATTTACATTAAATTGTTCTTAATTTACACTAAATGATAATAATCAACTTATATCAAAATATACCTGATTTATACCAAATAATAATAAATTAACATATAATAAAATGCACCTAATTTACATCAAATTGAAATTGATTCACATCGAAATCTTACTAATTTATGTTAGAGGTCAACTTACACGAAATTATGCGAAACATAAATTGTGAGGCCCCGGAACCAAAAAGTAGAGGCAAAACGAAATCTCTTCTTTCACTCTAAGGCGGATTAGACATTTGGGCATTTTTGTTTGTTTGTTTGTATTATTTTTTCTATTCACTAGTTGGGACTTAAAGAGTTTTGAACGGTACAATAACTCAAGTGCACCAACGGTGGAGGTTTAGCATTTTATGGTCATTTGTGAATAAGGCACAATCTATCAATCTAAAATAATAAAACTTATAATTTATTATGAAAAGCATTGTCTTAACTGCACATAAAAATTAATATGTAGAAGAATTTTAATATATATATATATATATATATATATGTGAGTAAATTATTGACAATTACTAACATAATTTTGGATATTTATTCCAACAAAAAGAAAACAATATGTTTTTGAGTATGATTGGAACATTTTACCCTTTATTATAAGGATAAACAAGTTAGCATAAAAGGTGACAAAAAAGTGAAAACCAAGAGAAGACTCATATTTTATATCTACATTATGATTAACGTAAGATTAAGATGTTTGGTTATGAGAAACTAATGTTGAAATTAAAATTGAAGAGTTTGAATAATGAAAGTCCTAATTTAGTCTAGTTTGGTTACCAAGAGAAGAATTATGGAAAGGAAAATGGAAATATATCCTTTGGTTGAATTATGCATTGTGCAAAAGAAATCAAAATAAAAGAAATGTAAAGGAAATATAGCCAAAATGAACTAGTTTTAGTTTTCACAGGAGAAAAAGTTTAAATTTACAAAGAAGTTTTCGAAAATTTTCAAATTTTTCAAAAGAGACCCTCCCATCACCCCCAGTTCCGTCCATGAAAGGAAACTTATTTAAAATTAAGCTTCGTCAATCACATAACCATTTAAAACTTCAGACTAGACTCATAATAATTTTCTCGAACAGACATATTTAATGAATCCAAATGACTTTTCAAAATGTTGGACATGAATTCTAAATTTCATGTCTAGAGTCAGCATTGACTTTCGTCATATAGGTCATCCTATCATAAAGAAGTCATTGTTTAATGTAGAAAATTTTATATCAAAAGAGTCTACAAAGAAGATAATGCCCACTTGTCAGTAACAAAGTGGTGATTGCTTATTCCCTTTTTTTTTTTTTGACAAATCCCAGAAACGAGAAAAGTTTGGTTGCCCTAAATTTTATAAATAATAAAAAAATTAAACTACGTAATTGTTGATTCCATTATTTATTGCAATGCAAAAGTTAGTTAAGTGGATAAAATGGGCTTTCTTTTTTTTTTGCTTCAACTGAGTAATTTATGAGAAAAAAGTTATATTTTTATTTCTAATAACTTATGCCTATGATATAAAATCTCACATAAAGTGCAAAAATTCTATAGCACAAATTAACATGTGAATGTTAATAGAGTTTTTTTCGGTTTCTGGGAATTAACTCTAACAATTTGATAATAGAAGAGGTTATTTCATATGGCACTCTTATCAGGAATTAAAGAGATAACATCCCAATTGTTCATTAACTATCTGCTAAGCCTTATATAAATACAAGTAAATGTCATAGAAAGTATTCATCTAAGACGCTTTATACTTTTTCTCTCATGGTTAGTTGATAATTGGTAATTCAAAAACTGATTTGACCGTTGCAGTGACTCAATATATAATTCTAAATTCAATTCTTTTTTTTTTTCAATATGCCATTGCATTGGTGTCCTAGGTAGCATACATTCAGCTTGAATTAATATGCCTTCTTACGCATGGAAGTACTTCAAAGAACACAACCAATGACAACATTAGTACTCACCCTAGAGGCCAAGAAAACCGATAAGTTTGCTAGGATTTTCAAACGAACTAATAAGTTTGCTAAAAGGTACATATTTCATGAACTTGTAAGTTTTGCCAAAAAGAAAAGGCCAGCTAGACTTAAAAGTTTGCAAAATTTGTTACTAAATTAAAAAGATAACTTTTGTAGGAAAAGTAGTGAGTTTTTTTTTTTTTTTAGTCACAAACCTGTATACAGGGAGGAATGCCAGCCTTGAATGTTATTAATACTCTGAAAAAATAAAAGAGGAGGGGTACATAAACCAAAAACTCCTATTACATGAGCTTAAAACAAGAAATAAAGAGTACTACTCGGTTACGGCAATTGATCTAATATATGGAAAATGAAACTATCTAGAAAAACTAGAGACCTAATGTGCCGAGGAAGTTGCGCAACAGAATGGAAAAGAAAAGTATCTGTAAAGCATAAAGCTGCCAATGAATCTGCTACAGCATTGGCCTCTCTGTAAATATGGTGCACGATTGCTAAGAGCTGTCCGAGCATATCCTTTATGTGTTGCACCACATTACACAGCCGTCACTTAGGGGTAGCAGAAGAAGAAACCAGTTGATGAAAGAGCCCGCGAATCAACCTCGGCATCAACTCCCTGCAAGTGTCTAGAAGTACAAATTTGCAAACCGGACTGTAAAGCAGCTGCCTCAGCCTCCAAAACTCCCATGCTGCCAAGCTCATTGACGAAAGCAACCACTACCCTACCCTGATAATCACAAATAACACCACCACCTGATGCTCTCCCATTCTTGACGCTTGCATCAGCATTCAATTTATACCTTCCTTCAAAGGGAGCTTTCCACCAAATTGCTAGCCCCCAAAGTTTCCGTGGCTGCTGGATCACGAAAGATGAAGCTAAAAGGAGTTATGATCACCTTGAATTTGAGCATCAGTAATTGGCCAAGAAGCTCCAAGAAGTTGCAAGAAAGACTTGACTCTATAAATCACAGAATCTGCTCTCATTGCCTCTCCTCGAAATCTCGCTTCATTCCTCGAACACCACAGAAACCAAAAGTTACAATCGGCAGTAGACACCTAACAAGATCCAACGAGGTGGCAGGAAAGGAAAGAACCCATTGCATGACAGTCGAACTAGCACACGTATGCTGCATATAAGGCAGGCCAAAAGCGTGCAAAAAATATTTCCACACTTCCACGGCAATCCCACCAGCAAAGAAGAGGTGCCGCACAATCTCCTCCTCCTCGCAGCATTCACATTTTGATGCCAATGACATCCCTCTTCGCTGCAACACGGTGTCAAGAGGTAAGAATCCATACAGCACTCTCCGCGCCAGGAAGGAGTACTTGATTGGAAGCATTGGGTTCGAAATCACGCTATGAACTAGAGAAGAGCTTTTCCTCTTTCGGACCAGCTCATAGGCAGATTGGGAAGAAAAAGTGCCTAATGGAGAAGCATTGCACACTACTACATCATGCTGCGAAGGCCGAACCCTTAGTTGCACTATAGAAGGAATAATCCCCAATGGCAACCATTGACAAAGTTGGGAAACATTCCAAGAATCTCCCTGCCACAACTCCCGGACTCTTAGCTGCGGCGGGTCCTCCATGATGCTGAGATTGATAAGCGGGGCATGAAGAGCCCAGCAATCCATCCAAAAATCCATATCCCCACAACCTAACTGCCTGAACATTTGCTGATCAGCAGCATCTCGGATAGAGCACATTCGTCTCCACGTATGCGACCCACAATTCCCATTAACCTCTATAGGATGACCCCTGCTAATATATTTTTCGAACATTAATTCTGCCCAAAAAGTATTTCTTTCTTGCAGCCGCCACCATAACTTCATGCTGAGGGCATCGACCTGATCCGAGAGTGATTTGAACCCCGGACCACCCTCATCCACTGGGTAACAAAGATCTTCCCAAGATTTCCAGTGCATTCTTTTGCTCTCCAAGGAGTAATCCCACAGAAAGCTATTAAGAACTCTGCCCAGTGCAAGTAAAAAATTCTTTGGTGGAGCAAGAACTTGCATCAAAAAAATAGAAATAGATGTTAGGACATGACAAATGAGGATGATTTTACCCCCTGGAGACAAGAATTTTGTAGACCAGCCCTGAACTCTAGCCCGAACCTTTGCAAGGATGCTATCAAACAAAATCGATCTCACTTTTCCAAGTGCTAGCAGCGCCACGAGATAAGTTATAGGCAACTTATCACGCTTAAATCCCAATACTAAAGAGACCAAATTAACTTTTGCCGGAGATGCTTTGTCGGAGCAAACAAAGGCGCTCTTAGAAA